ATCAGGAGCAGATTGTTTCTCTCCTCAGCAGGTATTAGAGAGCAGAGTCCACTCTGAGCAGCGATCAGCCAACCAAACGCTATAAACACACAGATAATAACTCACACGTCGCCTCAGCCACGGTTCACACATTTCACCATATGATACATTTTTCACTACAGGTGTAAAAAAAATAATGGCAGTGTTCACTAAAGTTCACTAAAATAGAATATAAGACCAAAGTGTCTGGAGAAATGATACTTTTATTTTTTATATTGTTATAAAAGTGATGCACCAAAATGGAATTTGCCAAATCAGAAATCAAATTGGCCCAAAACTGAAAAAGTAAATTCAATTAACAAAAATAATTTTTATTTATTTGGGAAAGCGTAAGGGACAGTGTTTTAATCACTATTTCTCATTGCCATTATTGTCAGACTTTGTTTGTTTGGGTTTTTTTGTTTGTTTCAAAATTTATGGCCTTTTTTTCTCTTTCCCAAATTTAAATTTTTTTGTTTTAATTTTCAGGTTTTAAAATTTTCAGTGGTTGAAACCTCATATTTTATACACACACACGCGTGTGTATACACATATATATACTCATTTATTTGTATGAAAAATTCACGTGCAGCACAGGGAAGTTTTATTTTTGTGGTCGCTGTATTTTAGGAATATCCTGGAATTTTGTTGAATGTGATATTCCTGATATTTTATAGCATAAAATCAAACTGTATTCAATCACAGCGCGTGCCTCTCGCAACCCTGTGTGTCAAAACACACAAACAAAAAAAACATCTGCAGCCTCTGAGAAAAAAAAAGTAGTGCTGTGTCACTGCAAATATAGAGGTCAAAGGTCACCAGCAGTAAAGGGGTCGATCAGCACGCGCTCCTGCTGGAGGAATCGATCGGAGAGCGTTTTTCCAGGACATTCCGGACTGAAATCAGAGCTCTGAAGCTGTGAGCGATAAGATACTGTAATCTTCACACGTAGCGGCTGAACAGGCCATAAAACAGCAGCAGTAAAAGACCCAGAGCGCGGACTCTGACGCTGAACCCGCCCGGTCACCCACTCGGTCACACGAGACACAAACCGTACACCTCAGCGCTGTTGAAGAGGAAGTGACATCACGGCACCGTCAGCGATTATCAGGACTGCAGACTCCGCAAAGCAGAAACAGGTCACAAGACCAGAAACACACACACTGACCCAGATTAGCTCCACAGTAGCTCTGGAAGAAACACATGAAGTGCTGTATGAATTATTTCACTGAAACAGGTGAAACTGCAGAAGAGCAGATTCTAGACTTTAATCAGAACTTCAGAAGAAAAGATGTTTAATTATGATCTGGATTTAATTAAAAGTTGTTTTGTCTTACATAAAGACAAAAAACATCCTTGACATTTTTTCTGTTTTTATCATGTTTTGACACATAAACAAGTCCGAAGTGCAGACTCGAACATGTCTATACAGAATGGAAATTAAGATTATATACTTTACGGTGCTGTTAGTTTATATACTAATGTGTTAGTTATACTTTAGTGTTAGTTACATAGTTATGTAATCTCATAAAAATAGTGATATAATGTAAATTGAATCTACATGAAAATGTATGTCTTCTCAAAAAAGTGATTTTTGATAGTCTGAACAGCAAAAAACCTTATTAAATCAGATTTTTGCAAATCAGATCCAAACCACATTCGGAGCTGGTTTGAAATGCGACTCCAGTTGGATTTTTACAGATGCGTCTCAGTCTGGACGCTCTGGACACTCAAATCGGATTTTTGTGTCACTCGCAACACGACAAACACTGATGATGTCGAATCCAGAGTGACGAAGTTCTGGGATTCAAGAAGAGCTCCACAGATTCATGATGATGAAGAGAGTTCTGAAGAGTCTGGAGGGGAGATGATGCTCCTCCATCTCTCCTGCATCCGCGTTTGAAATCCGCATCACCAATGCAGCTACGTAGTTACTACGGCAACCCATGCAGATAGACGTGATGTCTGGACACAAAACAAACAACACAACAAAGCAGTCTGAATACAGACGCATTCAGACAGTTCAACAGATCAGGAGATGAACAGAGAAAGTAACTGATCTAATGAAATTCCTTAAACGCAGTCACATAAATAAAACTGAGTAACGTTGTTATTGTAAACAGGTCTGCTGGTTAGATCCTGCTGGTGTGGGTTCACTGCTGTTTCTTCTCTAAATGACAAACACTAAAGCGACTTGTGCACCCCCTGCTGGAGAAACTGCAAATTGCTAGGCTGGAGTTCCAGAAGCGCCTTTGGAATAACTTTTTTACAACTTTTAATATTTAATATTAATTGGCAAGCTTTTTAAATTAGTCCCCGCTGTTCTCTCCGACTTTTGTCAGAATTCACCAGCAGTAACGTTGACCTGACGACCGCGATAGCCGTTTCCTCACAACCTGCCGTGATGGCTGGGTGTTAAAATATGACTTTACTGTCAGGGGCAGTGCTGATATTAAAAATAAATTTGATAACGATGATGATT